CAGGGGGGGGGGGGGCAGGGACTTTTATAAAGGTGGATCAATCGCAAGCACAGCCCAGCTGTCAGGTCGGGAAAATGACTTGCTGCAAAAGCAAGTGCCAACCCCCAGCGCAGGCACGAACGTGCAGGCGAGGGGACAAAGTGGCTTTTCAGCCCCTGCTAGCTCCTGTTCTTCTGGCTTCCAGCAGCACGACCCGGTCATTCCCAAGTTACGCGCCAGTGATGGAGCTGAGCATGAAATGAGCTTGTAGGGAGGACTGTGCCTGCTTTCTCTGCCACTTGTTACTACCTCAGTTAACCTTCCCCCTCGCCTGCCGAGCCACCTTAAAGGAGAGAGGCGGAGGCCGCAGCCTGGCAGGTTCCTTTCCGCTTGTTAGGACATCCCAGGGGGTTGTCTTGCTCCCAGAATGGAGTGTTTATTTTTTAATTGATGTGCTGTTTCATTTAGCGCTTGTATGGAGCTCACGCTGGGGCTGTAATTACTGTAATCTCAGGAACAAGCATTTTGGTTAGCCAGGAGGGTGGCAGTACCGTGCGATTTATTTTTGGCGGTGTTAAATTTTGTGATTTGTCAGGTTTCAAGAAAGAAGGGAAAAATGGAAGGGCGGGGGAATTGTGTGTGTGTGGGGGGGAGGACAGAGTGGTAATCTTCCCAGACGCTGGTGTTCAAGCTAGTACATGACCCTTTGTAGGAAATGAAACAGGTGACAAAGCAAAGGCAAAAAAAGTTTGTGGGTTACCTCTATTTAAATGAATGCATAGATTATTTAGACAGAAGGAAATGGGCAATAAGGAGGCAATGAGCAGGTTTCTTGCTTCCTTGTTTTGGTAGTTTACCAAACAAACTCCTTCGCCAGCCCCTCCTCCACCAAAAGAAAGCTAGTAATTACATGGTAGATCAGCATTTAAATTAGTTTTGCAACCAGAAATTATCACATCTGGGGGTATTTTGGGGGTGGGGGGGGGGGAGGAGGGGGCAAATCTAGCTTTCTTCTAAAGAGCCAGAATATTGCTAGGGGAAGCAGCAGATGGACCCCCAGCCATTTAGGGAAAGGAACTGAGAATTGTCATCTTGTTGCTACCTTGATCTCCATAATGACTAGGTAAACTCCTTTCAGGTAGCTTACTATATCTGGGTCTGAAGACCCTATTAGGAGGTGACTCATAATAGTACTTTTGCCTACTAGGAAAAGAACTGTATTCAAAACTTCCTACAGAGTGTAAAAATGAGGAAATCCAGTTGTGGGCTCTGGGATACTTCTGTAAATCACCCCTCTGACAGGAATCCTACTGGCTATTACAAAACTGCTATTTTACACCTGCCATGGACACTGCATCGCAGAGACAGCAGATGTGATGTGATTGTTTCCAAAAGCAACACAGATGCTGTCAAGTTTCCATTGCTATATTTTAGCAGGGAAACTCAGGAGATATACTGAATGCTACAGTTTAGAATTACACTGTGGCTCTATTAAAATAAAGAAGTGCTGGGTTTCTCAACTATAGGTGCGGTTTAAATTTTACTGTAATATAGTCTATTTCCTGCCTTCTATACTGTACTTAGTGAAAAGACATGTAGCTGTGGGCACGGCATGGTTCTGAAACCATTCAATAATAACTTTTGTATTTATGAAGTTTTTCAAGCAAAAAAAGTCTAAATATTTTAATATGATTTGAATGAGTTTGCAGCATCCTATAAATGGATAACCCATTAGTTTATTAATGAAATGCATCTAAATCACCCAGTCCATTTGATAATCTCAGCCAATATCTTGAATCTTTAAAAAAATTAAAAGTGGGGGCCTGATAGATAGGGTATTCATGAGTTATTCAGATTTTTAAAAGGCTTGGACTGATGTGAGGCAGTGGGACTGGGACTTTATCTGTCCTGTAAGCAGTCTCTTGATATCAGTGAAAGCATGGAGGTGTCCAAGGAATTAAGGAGCATATATTAACCTTTTTTTTCTTCGTGTTTTCCAAGAAAACACAGCAGTTACTGTTTTAAAAAAGTTAAGCTTCACTATAGTAGCATAAATAACTTGGAGTATTTTCAATAGGGATTTCAGAACAGATGTCCAGTTACCAAATCATGCACAAATATAAAGCTGGCAGATGAAAGCAAGTGTCTGCTACATGTGGTATAATCTTTTTGCAAAAGTATCAGTTAGTCAATAGATAGAAATCTTCCTCAAGTCCCAACTGGCACAGGTCTTTTGAAACTTTAGAAAAGTGAATTCTGGATAAACTTTGAGCCCCTGGACTTGATTATTTCTCAGAGGGTTTCCTTTACATTAAGATGTCCAACATCTCTCTAAAACAACGGATTTTGCCCCCTATGTTACAGGGAAAGCACTCAGTTCTTGATATACACAGTTATTTAATTTTCTCTGAGCTTTAAACCCAGAGTAGTAAGCATGGTTGAGGGGTAGAGGTTTGAGCTCTGGTTTTGTTTTAGCTCAGACACACAACCGTCATCACAACTGCATGTTGTTTGCCCTCAATTCTGCCCCGCAATGCACATTCTTTTCCAACTCCTCCCTTATTCTGGACTTGATATAACATGCTCAGCATTCAACCTCACCTTTACCTTCTTTATTTCTGCTGTGTTCCACAACAAAGATGCCATCCAAAAAAATCCTCTTCTTTAGCTGGCCAGCAACCGGTAAAGCTGGGTATGATAACTGCAGGATCAACAATTTGGGGAAATGCCTCAGCAATCAACAGCTCTATGGTGATATATTTGGGAAGCTGGCATGAAAAGGGGTTAAACAGACAGGCTCTCATTTCAGGGAGAAAATTGGATCTCCAAGGACTATAAAATGTGGCCACAGATCACAGTGCCATACTCACCTAATTGCCAAGAGTTCACCTGTTTGATGATGCTTTTTCCTACATGCAATAGTGCACCCTTTCACTTTGGAGGAACTTTTGGTGAAGGCAGAAGAGCAGATACAGCATGGAATGGACAAGGGACAGACCCTAACCACTGCTCCCCACCATACAGCATACAGACTATGCCTTGGATGCCATCCTGGAACTAACAGCAACCCTGGAAAACTTCACGGACTGGAACTGGTAGAGAAAACTCTCTGCAACTTGGTGAGTAGAGTGTAGCCAAGCTTATTGTTGGAGACACGATCACTTAAGGCAAATGGCGTTACCTCTTTCTGCCTAACCCCGTTACTGCTGTCACATACTGTTGGGCAACCTTTACCTGCAGAGTTTCAGTTTAGAAAAAAAAATCCATTTTGCCTGGCTGTCCTTCTTCTACCATGTGTGATGAGGGAAGTGTGAAATGGAAAGGAGGGATAAGTAATTAGACTACAGCAGTGTCCTGCCTTGCAGACATGAGAACAAAGTCACCAGAAGCACTTGTCTATACATATGTATTTGCCAGGCGCGTTTTCTTCCACTGACATCAGCTTTAAAGGATTCTCTGATAGAGCCGTATATATTTGTTGCTTATGAACCAAGAGAACTTGTCTACAGAAAAATAATACATTGTTTCTTTGCTTTTCAGGGACACAATCCTATTGTAGAATCATAGCCCTGTGCCTCTTCACATTCTGTCCAGGGGAGGTGCCAGAGCCCTTAAGCAAAGTGTGTGTGTGGGTGCGGGTGGGGGGTGCTTAGATAAACTACCACAGGGCTGGCTTCTAGAGGATGAACAGAGAAGGATACATTGTCAGTAGATTGCATTGTCAGTGACTTTCATAAGGGAGGATGGTACCAGCAGAAAGAGCAGCAAAATCAGTAGTGAGATGATGGAGCAGCTGCTTAGCATGATGTCAACTTTTACCAAAGGGCTTTCCTCCATACTACCGCATCATGAAGTTAGTGGACCCTCAGGGGAAATAAGTGTGGTATGAACCACTCAGTGCTATACACAGTGCACACTTCCTTCCCCTGAAGTAGAGCCAGCGAAAGGAAGATCACAAACAAAATAAGTTGAAACTTGCAGAATAATTTTGTCAGTTTACACAATATATATATATATTTTTTGTTCTGAGTGTTTTTTTGAAGGTTTGTCTCTTCCTGTAATTTTTCCTATTGATCTGTTTAGAT